AAGGGGGGGGGGGGGGGGGAGGGGGCTTACCTCGATGGTGCTGAATCCACCGCAAAAGAAATCCGGGTTGGCCTGAACGGGACGAACGTACATACGTGACAACGACGACGAAGGCGAGAGAAGAAACAAAAAAATGTGTCAAGTGATTGCTCCGAAGGAGACGACCATGGACTTGTCGGTATAACAGCAGTACATGACTACGTGATAAATGAAACCGCCTCTGTCCTCAACCGTACAGTAGGTCACTGAAAGCGGGTTGCTCTATTCGCTACTTGCATCTCGCAGGGACTTGCAACTAATGGAAGCGGCAAGGGCAAACATTTTGAGAAATGTTCGCATGACGCACAAGGCGGTTTTTCTCGGCGTACATTGTAGCAGCTGCACGTGGTGAAACCGACGGCTTGTGTTGTCAAACCCTTGGTTGAGAGACGATGAATCAAATCAGTCCGCCAAAAGATGGGTTGCTGTACTCGTCACTTACATCGCACAGGTACTCGCAGTTGTCGGAAGACAGCGATCCGTGCTTGTCGTAGTCGGCAGTAGAAGGGCCGCAGAAGCACTGGTATTGTTGAAGTTCGGGCGTGAGAAACGCGGATAGAAATAAGCGATAAAAGAAAAGTCCACGGTAAATTACCACCATCCCACGAGGACAAGGGAGAGAGAAACGTGGGACCAACATCACGAAAAAGAATGAGGGTTGGACGCTATTCATGAGTTCAAAAAATGTGGGAGCGATATCATGGAGCGGGCGTGTTCAGCGTGAAGCATAAATATTAAACATAGCAACAGGTACCGCAGCAGGGTGGGGTAGGAGGCCGCACGGAGAGAAACCCTTCCGTGTGGCCACGGGTTGGAGTAGAGGACACACCAGTGCAGTGAGCTCTGATTTGAAGCGAACACACTCCCACTTAACGTTCCAGTCTCCGACTCGTTACAGTTTCATTCCCTTGTGTTTTTGTGCTTCATCTTGAATGCACCGCTTCAACGTCAACGAAGAACAACACATACTAATCATCACGGGGAAAGACTAAGATGGGAAGTATTTACGGAATGGATAACAGATGCCCGTTCGAGGCGAGCGGCGCGCGCCCGAGTTCTCCCTCTCTCTCTTTGCCGACCCATGTTCTGCCGTGCTGCACTACGGTCAGCGCCCGGACTAAATTAACCAACTTGGCCGTTGAGAGAAGTTGGTGCTCAAGGTTTTCGTCCAGAGAAAAAAACAAGCAATACATTGTATCTGTGAGTCCGGGATTGATTGAGAACCCTTGAAAAAAAACAAACTAGAGCAGCTATTCGATTTGGCACAAGAGGGACTAAGAACGTCATGCTTAACGTTTCATCAAGAGAAATAGAAAGCACCATTGCTGTGAGTGAGTCCGGGATTGAGAACCGTACCTACACGACAAACACGCATAGCGGCCATTTGAAGGCCACGAGAGGGAGCTAAGATGAAGATCTTCCGCGCTCACTTCCGCGCTCAATATATCGCGTCCCAGAAACTGAACATTAAAGCCTATTCCGATCCCTCCAGCCCACCCCAGGTGCAGTACAGCTGTACGGGCGAAATATTGTAGTACTCCCGCCACTCGCGCAAGAAACACAATCAAATTGTTTGTTGTTGCAAAGAAGAAGGTGCAAAGGGCAGGGGGTGTACATTTAATCATCAGAAAAACAAGACACCTTATGTCCTTCGAGTCCGGGATAAAGACCCCTTTTACACGAAAGCCAATGTAGCGGCTACTTGAAGGGCATTAAGAACCTCAGCTTCGGCGAAACCTGCTGCTGTAGCGGCTACGCTATACCTGTGCCTTAACTACCGCATAGATAGGCGGGGGATGCTGTTACATGGTGGCCAGCTGCAGAGTCTGAAGAGGAGTTGGGAAGACTGTGAGACGGTACTGTAGACAGAAAAGACAGTCAGACCTGGAAGGAGAAGTGCACGCCGAAGAAGGTGGAGCGTTGTATCCGTGCTGCAACTCTTACTGCATACCCGTGGGATGCCACATGATAATTGCAAGCTGCAGAGCTATACAAGGAATGCGGTTTAAACACAACAAATAATGCAGAAAATTCCATCAACCGAGACCTCGTGAAGGGGCGGCATGGGGGAGAAAGGACATGAACTGTGGGACGGCAGACAGACAAGACCTGGAAGGAGTGCTGCACCGACCCGCAATTCACAAAACGTGGAGGCTGGTTGAAATGACCAGGGCTTTCGAATGAGTCCAATGTTTTTACATACATGGGGGCGGGTTCAAGTTTTCTCTCCTCACCTGGAAGGAGAACTGCACGCCGAAGAAGGTGGAGCCCAACGTCTCGCAGTAGGACGCACAGATCTGCGTGCAGACAAGAAAGCGAGGCCGACAACAACAGGGCGAGCAGAGGAGAAAAATAAAAAAAGATGTA